CCCTGCTGCGTCCCGCCACCCCCAGTGGCCGGCAGAGGTTCCGAGGGCGTGTCTCTCGCAGGTCACCCAGCTCGGGGCCTGGGGGGTGGGGGGAGTTGGGACCCTGAGGCAGCCCTGGAGCGGAGGATGGAATTAGCCGCGTCGGGGCTGCCCTGTGGGACAGATGGAGGAACATCTTGGCTGTAAGCTGGCTAACCGCGGGGATAAGCTGTCAAGGAATGTGAGAAATTCCCATCTGGGGAGCGCTGGGGGGATGAACTATTTTCCAGGGCACGCTCCGTGCTCGGTGTTCAGCTGCTTGGTGGCAGGCACCGGTCTTGATGGTCCCTCAACACCTTTTGCCGGGACCGGTTTGGCTCAGTGGATAGAGCGTCGGATGCGGACTGAAAGGTCCCGGGTTCGATTCCGGTCGAGGGCACGTACCTTGGTTGCGGGCACATCCCCAGTAGGGGGTGTGCAAGAGGCGGCTGATGGATGATTCTCTCTCATTGATGTTTCTAACTCTCTATCCCTCTCTCTTCCTCTCTGTGAAAAATCAATAAAATATATTAAAAGAAAAGAAAAAAACACCTATTTTTTTCTTTATTTCTGTGCTTTATTTTTAAAAAAATATATTTTATTGATTTTTTTACAAAGAGGAAGAGAGAGAGGTAGAGAGCTAGAAACATCGATGAGAGAGAATCATCGGTCAGCCGCCTCCTGCACACCCCCTACTGGGGATGTGCCCGCAACCAAGGTACATGCCCTTGACCGGAATCGAACCCAGGACCTTTCTGCCCGCAGGCCGACGCTCTGTCCACTGAGACAAACCGGTTTCGGCTTTTTCTGTCTTTTTGTTGTTGTTAATCTTCAGCTGAGGCTATTTTCCCAGGGGTGTTTAGAGAGAGGGGACGAGAGGGAAGGAGAGACGGAGAGAAACATCGGTGAGAGAGACACACCCTGACGGGTTGCCTCCTGCAGACACCCCGACCAAGGCCAGGGAACTTGCAACCAAGGTCTGTGTGTGCCCTTGACCCGAAATGAACCCGGGACCCTTCCGTCCTGCGTGCTGAGCCTTCGAAGGCGGCATACCGCGGTCTGCACATTGAAGTTCCTGCCCGTGTTCCCACGGGAAAATGCACGGAGACCTTTGGCAACGCCCGGGGTTCCCGGCCGGAGGACCCCAGAGGGCGCCCCCCTCTGACCCCGGACATCCCGCATGCCAGTCCTGCCTCCCAGCAGCCCCGTCCCAGCCCTGCCTCCAGCTGTCATTCCCCGAGTGCCGCCCCGCCCCGCCCTGCAGTTGTTAGGACGCATAGCGGTGCTTCGTGGCATGTGCCCCGCCGCCGTGGTCTGGGGTCCCTGCTGCCCCCGGTGGGGCTCTCGGGGGAGCACGGCGTCCGGAACCGGCGATGGGGCAGGCGGCGTTGGGTGCGGTGTCACCGCGTTCCCACATCTCGGGAGGGAGTGGGTCTGGGCACCGACAGGGCTGTGTTGGGATTAGCGGTAGGGTCCCTCGGTGCTCCGGAATGGAGAAGGAGGGTTTTTTGGTGTGTGTTTTTTGTTTTTGTTTTTTAATGTGTTTTTATTGATGTCAGAGAGGAAGGGAGAGGGGGCGAGAGAGAAACATCAATGGGAGAGAGAACCATTGATCGGCTGCCTCCCACACGCCCTACACTGGGGATCAAGCCTGCAACCTGGATTCAAACCCTGGACCCTCCAGACTGCAGGCTGGCGCTCTATGTGCTGAGCCACCCGGGCCAGGGCGGTAGGGGGGGTGGGGGTTGCGATGATTCCCTCCTGGGTGTCTGCACGGGGAGCAGCAGCAGGTGCTGGGTGGACCTGAGGTGCCGAGAGGCCCGGGGACTCGGCTGCCTCCTGGGGAGGCTGAGCTGCGCCCCACTCCGCCCCCCGCCCGCCGCTGCGCAGAGCAGGCGTGGAATCCGGCAGGAATGCACAGCCGTCCTGCCCCGGTGCTCGGCCCTGCACCCTCTGCAGCTCGGGCACGCGTGGCCCGGGCGTTATGTCCCGCCCACGCCCGCGCCCACGCCCGCAGACATGCCCCTTCTCGGACAGAGTCCCTTCCCAGGCGGGAGGGCAGTCCCAGAAGAGGGAGCCTTGGGGTCTCTCATCCTCTTCCTCAGCCCGGCCTGCCTCCCCCGAGGCCCCGCGGGCCTGCCTGCGCCCCGGCGCCCCCGTCTGTCCAAAGGCTCAGCCCAGATCCTCATCACGGATGTTTCTCTCTCTCTCCCCTCCCTTCCTCTCTGAAATCAATAAAAATATATTTAAAAAGCCCTGACCGGCGTGGCTCAGTGGATAGAGCATCGGCCTGCGGACTGAAGGGTCCCAGGTTCGATTCCGGTCAAGGGCATGGACCTTGCTTGCGGACACATCCCCAGGAGGGGGTGTGCAAGAGGCAGCTGGTCAGTGTTTCTCTCTCATCGACTTTTCTAGCTCTCGCTCTCTCCCTTCCTCTCTGTAAAAAATCAATAAAATACATTTAAACACACACACAAAAAACATTTTAAAAAATAAAAATAAATACACACACACACACACACACACACACACACACACACGCTCTCCTGCCTGGGACCTGCTCTCCTGCCTGGGCAGGTGGCAGCGATGGTGCCGGGTGGGCGTGTGACAGCTGCGCCAGGCGGGGAGGAGCGGGGCGCCAGGCCAGCTGGGGGTGAGCCGGGCCCGGCCAGGCGGTCACACCGCGATGACAGCGGGATTATCGCCGCCCGTGGGAATTCCCACACGACAGTGTCAGGTTTCAGGTCAAGAGCAGAGGCTGGCTCTCCGTGTCCGCCCGTCAGCGCCCGGCTCCTGGGCCCTGTGCTCGCTCTGCGGAAACCCTGCGGCCGGCAGACTCTGAGGCCCCCCGGGGATGGGGGGGGTTGAGGCCTGCTCCTGCCAATTCTTTTTCTTCTTTTTAAAAAAAAATACATTTTATGTTTTTTTTTACAGAGAGGAAGGGAGAGGGATAGAGAGTCAGAAACATCGATGAGAAACATCCATCAGCTGCCTCCTGCACACCCCCCACCGGGGATGTGCCCGCAACCAAGGTCCATGCCCTTGAAGGGAATCGAACCCGGGACCTTTCAGTCCGCAGGCCAACACTCTATCCACTGAGCCACACCGGTTTTGACTGTGCATTTTATTTTTATACATTTCATAGATTTCAGAGAGGAAGGGAGAGGGAGAGAGAGTTGGAAACATCGATGAGAGAGAAACATCCATCAGCTGCCTCCTGCACGCCCCCCACCGGGGAGGTGCCCGCAACCAAGGTCCGTGCCCTTCACCAGGAGGCAGTAAAAATGAAAATAATGATGATGACGTCATCCCGCAGCGGAAGCTGCAGCTCTTTCCGGCCGCGGTTCCTGCCACGGCCCGCCCTGCCCTGGCACCAGCGTGTTCCAGACCCAGCCCGACCCAGAGCATAAATACCCTCTCCCTCTGCAGGATCTGGGGTCTTAGCACAGGAGGGTCCTTGGAGACCCCAGAAGGTCCCTTAACAGCATCTGGATGCTGGTTGGGGTCCTTGTCTGCCCATGCTGGGGCCCCTCGGTCTTAGTGCTAAAAGTCATTGACAGCCTGGCCAGTGTTGCTCAGTGGGTAGAGGAAGGGTACCGGGTTCGATTCTGGGACAGGACATGTACCTCGTGGCAGGTTCAATCTCTGGCCCTGATTGGGGCACGTGTGGGAGGAAACCAATCAATGGATATCTCTCCCACATTGATGTTCCTCCCTCCCTCTCTCTCCCCCCCCCCCTCCTCTCCACTCTCTCTAAAAGTTAATGGGAAAATACCCTCAGGTGACGATTAAAAAAATAAAAATTCGCCCCAGAGTCATAGGAGCATGAACAGACTGGAACCTCAGAGGGAGGGGGGACTGGCCACCCGTGGGCTCCGGGGCTTGGCAGAGGCGTCTCCCAGCGCTGACCACCAGGTCCCGCCGGCCATAGCTCCTCCCGCTGTGCAGGTGGACAGACAGAAAATGCATGTCCCCCGCCCGACCCCCACCCACCCCGGGATTGCTGGGTCGGCTCCCAAGCCCGTGGCTGGCCTTCTGCCCGCCTGGCCTGGGTGGCGCGGGCACCATGGGCACCCGGGGCCGGAGCCGCAGGCTGGGGGAGGGGATGGGGGTGGACGCTGTAAGCCGGTGAGTGAGCACCGCCAGGCGCTTGTGCGCTGACCCCGGGGCGGGAGGGGCTGGTGAAGGTGAGTCAGAGGGAAGTGATGTCACATGGGGGGGACACGACCCCGTCATCGGCGAGACCTCCCCGGATCCCGTGGGCCAGGAGCGCGCCCCGTGGCGCCCGGAAGCAGCCCTCCCATGCGGCTCACGGCAGGCTGGGCCTGTGGGGTGAGGTCCTGGCGGCGGGGGACGGTGTCTGGGGACGGAGCTGCAGGAACCCTCCCGCCCCCACCCCCACCCTGGCTGTGGCCCCGGGACTCGGCCTGGGGAGAGGGAAGGGGCGGGAGTGGCAGGAGGGAGGGATGGCCCGCTGGCACTGGGCAGCCCCCGGGAGCGGGGAGGGAGTGGGGATTGGGTGGTGTGGGGTGAGCCGTTCTCGGTCCGCGTTGGCTCTCCGATGGGGGTTCTGCCAGCCCATTAGGGAGGTGAGCAGATGGGGGGAGGGGGGACGCAGCGTGGGGTAGCCTGTGCTCTTCGCCCTGTCACCCCCCACCCCGCCCCCACCCCCCAACGGCCAGGTGTCCCAGGGACTGTTCCTGACAGCCAAGCCCCAGCATTCGGGCTCTGCTGTTCTGTGAGGGCTCAGGGTCCCCCTCCCCCCTCCCCTCCCCCCCCATAAAACACAGGTGTCCGGACGCCCCGTCTCACATGGCCTGGGAGCAGCTGGGGGGCCGGCCCCCCCCTCACCCCGGGGCCTGTGCCCCGTGGGCGGTGAAGGTGGGTCCATGCGCCTGAGCTCCCTGCGTGGTGCCCTCAGGCGGCCGGCGGGTGCCCTCGGCCCCGCTCCCCGTCCCTGACGCCGGCCCCTCTGCCCACAGACGCGTCCTTCGGGTACGGCTGCGCGGCGGACCATGCGGAGGAGCAGCGGCGGCACCAGGACGGGCTGCCCTACATCGATGACTCGCCCTCCTCCTCGCCCCACCTGGGCGGCAAGGGCCGGGCCGGCCTGGAGCCGGCCAAGGCGGTGAGTCCGGGCGGCGGGCGGCGGGCGGGCGGCCGTCCGGGTCCAGAGGCTCCGGGCTGCTCGGGGGCCGGGGCCGGCGGTGATGGAGCAGCCACGGTGGCTGCTGAGTCGCCGACACTCCCTTCTCCTCCTTCATCCGGGCACAGGGACGGCCTGCGGGGGCCGGGAGCTGCCACCCAGCTGGCGGAGGCGGGCGGCTCCTGCTGGCACCCGTGGGGGCGGCCCCCCCCCGCGTCCCCGCCGAGCAGGAGAGACGCCCACAAATGCATTTGCTCCCTCTTACCGGAGGGGGTGCCGCCGACCCACCCGCTGGACCACGGACATTGTCTAAAATATATGTGTTTTCTTGTTTTTAAAAAAATATATTTTATTGGGGTTTTTTTTTTTTAGAGAGAGAAAGGGAGGAGGATGGAGAGTTAGAAACGTGGGTGAGAGAGAAATATCGATCAGCTAGCTGCCTCTTGCACATCCCCTACTTGGGGATGTGCCCGCAACCAAGGTACATGCCCTTGACCGGAATCGAACCTGGGACCCTTCGTTAAGCCACACAGGTTTCGGCGTGGGCCTGCGCCTCTTAAGCTTTTGTGACTTCTGAAGACCTCGGCCCTGGGCCCGTGCTGAGCCCCGAGGCTGGGAGGGGAGCCGGTGTGGCACACAGCGGCCTGTGCAGCCCCTCGCCCGGCGCCCAGCCTCACCACTGTGCACGGAGCCACGGCTCAGGAGCACACAGCGGTCAGATTTGGAGCCCTCCTGGCCCCTCGCTGGCACTTTCCCTCGGCTTCCTCCCTCGGGCCCTCCCTTCTTCCTGCTTGGCACTCGGGTTTGGAACGGGCAGCTACTGGCAGGGGCCTGAGCGAGGACGTGGGGCCCTGAGCCGGGGAAGGCTCTAGGCTGCCCCGCCGCCTCCCCTGAGGGCTCTCTGCCTGCCGGACCGCCCTCCACCTCCAGGTCCCTGGAGGACACGCTCCCGGTGCCCCAGGCCCTTGGCATGTGGCCCCTCCAACACCCCTCCCCGACTCCTGCCCTCAGGCCCTATTCTGCGCTCACTGGGCCCGCATGGCGCGCTGGATCCATCCAGTCCTGGGCGTGCTGGCTCAGGACTCCCCGAGCACTGACTGCTCACACTCTGAGGGCACAGGGCGTGTCGGCCTCGGCACAGCATGTCCCGAGGGGCCTGCCGAGCCCCGCCCGTGTGCTCAGGGAGGTGGCTGGGCATGAGACTGCGTGTCATTTCCCGGGGTGGCTCTCGGCCTAGATCTTACTGGCTGGTTGCTGCCCAGTGCATCGGCACACACATGCATGCCCATTCACACCCATGCCCATCCACACATGCATGCACATGTGCACGCAAGCATGCACACATGCAAGCACACGCATGCATGCACCTAGCTCGCGGACACTTCATAGGATGCCACAAAGCTGGCCGGCAGTCCGCCTGGTGGCCATTCGTCACCTTCTGTGAACATGGGGCCCCTCCCCGCTTGGGGCGTGGCCAGCCTCCAGCACCGGGCTTTGCTGCACCCGGCCCCCTGGTCAGGGAGCCAGCCGGGCTGGTGGCCAGGCAGTCACTCATCGCCTTTATTTTATTTAAAAAATATTTTATTGATATTTTTACAGAGAGGAAGGGAGAGGGATAGAGTTAGAAACATCGATGAGAGAGAATCATCGGTCAGCTGCCTCCTGCACACCCCCCACTGGGGATGTGCCCGCAACCAAGGTACATGCCCCAGCCGGCATCGAACCTGGGACCTTTCAGTCCGCAGGCCGGCGCTCCGTCCACAGAGCCACACCGGTTAGGGCCGTCCCGTGATCTGTAAAGACCCCAGTTCCCAATGGGGCCGCCCTCCGCTCTGAGGCGCCGGCGGCCGGGACGGGAGTGCGGTCCTCCGGCCGTGCGGGATCTGTCTGCCCCGGCGCAGCACCCAGTGCCGTGAGGCCTGGCGTTGGGAGGCCGAGGCATAGAGCCGTATTGATGGGGGAGGGGGTCCTGTAGCTCACCCCTGAGGGGGTCTCTGCCCTCAGAGTCCGAACAGCAGGCTCCGGAGGAAAAGGTCCTGAGCCCTGGGGCACCCAGCTCCACCCAGGCCCCGAGGGAGGGTGCGTGGAAGGAGGCAGCCCAGGGCTGCCCGGCCCTCCGGTCCAAGGGTCAGTGCGAGTGGCAGACCGCGGGCGGCAGTGACGGCGGCGGAGGGAGCGGGGCGGCCGGGCAGCGGGTCCCGGTGCCCCTCGGCTCCGCCTCTGCCGGGCCCGCCGCCCCTGGTCGCAGGAGGAAGGTGAGGAGGGGGAAGGCCTTGCCCGGCTGGCTCGGCCACAAGCTCCCCAATGTCAAGGCCAGCGGCGGCTCCTCTCGGCTTCGTGGTGACCACGTGTGAGTGGCTGCCGAGCCGGGGCTCCCGGGACTTCCTCCGATGCCGCCGGAGCCCCCGGGAGGCTGGTCCGAGGCGGACGGACGGACGGACGGACGGACACACGTCCCCGCGGAGACGGCCCCCTCGGCCATCATCTCGCGGGTCTGACTTCCGTCTGCGTCTCCCGCAGAGCGAGCTGGACCTGGAGAAGGGCTTGGAGATGCGCAAGTGGGTCCTGTCGGGCATCCTGGCGAGTGAGGAGACGTACCTCAGCCACCTGGAGGCGCTGCTGCTGGTGAGGGGGCCGGGGAGGCCCGGAGGGTGGGGCAGGGGCATGGGGAGCTGCTGGCCCACGTGGCCCGGGCCAGAGGTCAGCTGGCGGGAGCCGGGGGCACCCACCCTCCTGGGCGTCATTGAGTCACCTGTGGGAGGGTCAGAGCTTCTCAGGGGTGGTGGATGGCAGCGTAAGACAGGTGCCAACCCCAGCTGCCTTCATGTGTTCATATTTCATGGAATTTAAATATATTTTTATTGGCCAAAGCCGGTTTGGCTCAGTGGTAGAGCGTCGGTCTGCGGACTGAAAGGTCCCAGGTTCGATTCCGGGCAGGGGCATGTACACTGGTTTGGGCACATCCCCGGTGGGGGGTGTGCAGGAGGCAGCTGGTCGATATTTCTCTCTCATCGACGTTTCTAGGTCTCTGTCCCTCTCCCTTCCTCTCTGCAAAAAATCAATAAAATATATTTTTAAGTATATTTTTATTGCTCTCAGAGAGGAAGGGCGAGGGAGAGAGAGAGAGAGAGAGAAACATCTATGAGGAGAGAGAATCAGGGCTTGGCTGCCTCCTGCACAATGCCCCCGACTGGGGGTCAAGCTCACAGCCCCGGGCACTGCCCTGACCGGGAATGGAACCGTGACCTCCTGGTTCATAGGTCGACGCTCAACCACTGAGTCATGCCAGCCGGGCTACGTCATGGAATTTAAAAATAAAAGCACTAGCCGGTGTGGCTCATTGGATAGAGCGTCGGCCTGTAGACCAAAAGGTCCCGGGTTCGATTCCGATCGAGGACACGTACCTCGGTTGCAGGCGCCTCCTCGGTCCGGGGCCCTGGTCAGGGCGTGTGCAGGAAGCAACCATCGATATGTCTTTCTCTCTCACATCGATGTTTCTTTTTTTTTTTTTTTTAATATATTTTATTGATTTTGTACAGAGAGGAAGGGAGAGAGATAGAGAGTTAGAAACATCAGTGAGAGAGTCATCGATCAGCTGCCTCTTGCACACCCCCCACTGGGGATGTGCCCGCAACCAAGGTCCATGCCCTTGACCGGAATCGAACCCGGGACCTTTCAGTCCCCAAGCCGACGCTCTATCCATTGAGCCAAACCTGTCTCGGCTCACATCGATGGTTCTCTCCGCCTCTCCCTCCCTCTCCCACTCTTGCTAAAAACCGATGGAAACATAACCTCGGGCGAGGAATAAAAAAATAATTAATGAACGAATGGAAAGCCCCCACGCCACGTGACCACGACCACCCGTGGCCGTCCCGCGCCCTGACGCCGCCTCCCCCGTGGCCGTGCGGCCTCCCTGTGCCCCCGCAGCCCATGAAGCCGCTGAAGGCGGCGGCCACCACCTCGCAGCCGGTGCTGACGAGCCAGCAGATCGAGACCATCTTCTTCAAGGTGCCCGAGCTGTACGAGATCCACAAGGAGTTCTACGACGGGCTGTGCCCCCGCGTGCAGCGGTGGAGCCACCAGCAGCGCGTGGGCGACCTCTTCCAGAGGCTGGTGAGCGGCGGGCGGGCGGGGCGGCCTCTCCGGGAGGGACCTGCGGGGGCGCCGCCGGGGGCCCCGGGCTGACAGTGTCGAGTCAGAGTCCGGGGGTGGGTTGCCGGGCCCCGGGTGGCTCAGGGGTTGAGCGTCGGCCTGTGAACAAGCCCGGGTTCCAGGCTCGATTCCCAGCAGGGGGCGTGCAGGAGGCAGCCGAGCCGTGACCCTCTCATAGTTGGTGTTTCTGTCTCTCTCTCCCTCTCCTTTCTGAGATCAATTAAAAGATATATATATATATATATATATATATATATATATATATTTTTTTTTTTTTTTTAAAGGCTCCTGAGTCTCTTGCAGACTCTTTTGAAATATTTTTAAGACATTTTTAAAAGACGTTTTTATGGATCTCAGAGAGGAAGGGAGACGGAGAGAGAGAGAGAGAGAGGAGAGAAACACCAAGGATGAGAGGATTGTGGACCGGCTGCCTCCTGTCCGCCCCCTCCTGGGGATGGAGCCCGCAACCTGGGCACGTGCCCTTGGCCGGAATCAAACCCGGGACCCTTCCGTCCTCAGGCCGAGGCTCTGTCCACTGAGCTAACCAGCTGGGGGTTAAAATGTTTACTTCTTGATTTGAGAGAGAGAGAGATGGAGAGAGACACCGACTTGTTGCATTTGCTGGCCTCCTGCGCGGAAGGGGCCGCTCCACCCCACCTGCGTGGAGATCTCTGCCTGCCTCCCCCGACTGCCTTGAACTTTCGTTCTTGTCAGCGGCACCGTTCGCAGGCGTCGGCGGGAGGACTCGGCAGCGGGGGGCAGGGAGCTGCCACCTGCCCGGGGGGGGGGGGGGGGGGGGGCGTGAGTCACGCCTCGTGCCGCCGTGGGAGAGGGCCGCGGGCTCGGCGCGCCGGGCGGGAGGCAGGGGGGAGGCCGTGGCAGCTGAGCTGGGTGCCTGCAGCTCTGCACCGCCTGGCGCCTGGGGCTCCGCCGGGGCTGCGGCTCGGCGCTCTCTCGGCGAGATGGGGCGCCGCGGGCCTGGCTCACGCCCGCCCCATGTGCTCTGCCTCCCTCCCCCCGCAGGCCAGCCAGCTGGGCGTGTACCGGGCCTTCGTGGACAACTACGGCGTCGCCATGGAAATGGCCGAGAAGTGCTGCCAGGCCAACGCTCAGTTTGCAGAAATCTCCGAGGTAGGCAGGCAGGTGCGGACAGGGTGCCTCCGGCCCCGCAGGCGGGCACCGCGCTTGGCGGCGGTCTCCGCGGCCTGGGAGGACGAGGTGCGCCAAACCGAGGCTAGTGGTACGCCTCCGCCGTGCCCGGGTGCCTCTGGGTGGGCACCGTCCGCCTGCCCGTGCAGGGACCCTGTTGTGAGCAGACAAGGAGCAGCGAGGTTCCTGCCCGCGCCCCCCCCCCACTCCCTGGGGGGCCAGGGCCCAACGCTGGGGCTCGGTGAGGTCTTTGCAACGGTGATCCGCCGCTGTCTGTGTGCCGTGAGGGAGGTCCGCACTGCTGCCCTTTTTAAAAATACATATATTTTGCCGGGACCGGTGTGGCTCAGTGGATAGAGCGTCAGCCTGCGGACTGAAAAGTCCTGGGTTCGATTCCGGTCAAGGGCATGGACCTTGGTTGCGGGCACATCCCCAGTAGAGGGTGTGCAAGAGGCAGCTGATCGATGATTCTCTCGCATCGATGTTTCTAACTCTCTCTCCCTCTCTCTTCCTCTCTGTGAAAAATCAATAAAAATATATTTAAAAATTCATATATTTTTATTGATTTCCGAGAGGGAGGAAGAGAGAGAGAGAAGCACCCGTGATGAGAGAGAACCCATGGACCGGCTGCCTCCTGCCCGCCCCTCGCTGGGGATGGAGCCCGCAACCCGGGCCTGTGCCTTGACCGGAATGGAACCGTGGCCTCCAGGTTCCTAGGTCGATGCTCACCCCTGAGCCGCGCCGGCCGGGTCCTCACTTTTCTGTTTGAGGCGTCCTGCTCCTCAGAGCTCTGACTCGCCTCCCCCGACCCCGGGAGAAAGAGCTGTGGGTGAGGCGGACGGCCGCCCAGAGACGCGGGAACTAGAATCAGGGAGGGCGTCAGCCTCCTGCTGGAGACCATCCCCCGACCGCGGTGCCTGGCCATGGCCCCGGGCTCCGTGCCCGTTCTAATCCATCACGGGAGGCGGAGTGGCCGGGGCCCTGGCACTCACCGCCTCCTGCGGTGATAACACGTGCCCCGTGCCCCGCCTGGCCCCGTGGGCGCCCCCTGCCCGCCTGGCACAGCTGGTCACGGGCGACACCCTCCAGGGTTCCGGGCTGGCTCCAGACTGCCCTCCCGGCCACCCTGAGTTTGCCTGGCACGTTCGATCCGTTCTTTCCCTGAGCTCACTCTCTGACAAGCCCCCACCCCCCACACACTCACCCCTAATCGCTGGAACGTTGGCCCGGAATCCAGAGTGACCTTGACAAATTACAGACCTAACTCTCCCAGGGCGGCTGCGGTCACTGGGCCAAGGTTAAGTCCGCCTGCGCAGGTTTCTACAGAGGAAGGAAGAAACAGGGGTGGGACACCCCTCTCCCGGGGGCTTGGGGGGTCCCACCAACCACACACAAGCGGGAATCTAAGCCAAGGCCGGGGCAGGCAGTGCAGGGTGGCTCCTGGGGCCGGCCAACAGCCAGCCCCCCATAACGCTGGTACCACCACATAGCCCATCCGTGATGAGAGAATCACGGATCGACTGCCTCCTGCCCGCCCCCCCACTGGGGATGGAGCCCGCAACCCGGGCCTGGGCCCCAACCGGGAATCGAACCGTGACCTCCTGGGTCCTAGGTCGGCGCTCCACCACGGAGCCACACCGGCCGGTGCGTGCCCTGTGTCTTACACCGTGGCCCGGGACCCACGCCCGGGGCCGGCTGCCTCTGAGGCTCCTTGGGGCGAGGGAAGGGGGTGGTGCCCGCTGCAGGTGCCCAGCCCGGGACTTCCTGCCACACGGTCGCTGCCTGCCTTGTCCCCCGTGAAAAGGCGCCTTTTTCTTTGCAGAACCTGAGAGCCAGGAGCAACAAGGACGCCAAGGACCATACGACCAAGAACTCCCTGGAGAGTGAGTGCTCCCTGCCGAGGCCTCCTTGGGGGGCCCCACTGTGGGCAGACGGGGCGTTTGCTGGGGAAACGGACGTGGTGCTGCTGGTCGCCCTCGGGGCCCCCCATCGTGATGTTGGGGACCAGGACAGAGCGGCGGGGCCTTGGGGTGGGGGGAGTGGAGGGGAAGGAAGAGGTCAGGCGACTTGCCGCCCGCAGTCACAGAAAAGAAAGACGGGGGTGTCCACGGACACCCACAGGGCAGGCACTGCCGGGCGTTAACTCACGTGGTCCCCGGTCGCCCCCGAAGGAGGGCTGTCTCTCCCTCCTCTCGGATGACAAACACGTGGAGGACTCTGTGACCACGCAGCCCCCAGGCCCCCGGAGGCCGGTCAGAGGGTGCAGCCAGGGCGCCCGGGCCTGCCTTCGGCCTCCTCTTCCCGGGGGAAAGTGGTGGTGGGCCTGATGGGTCGCCTCTCACTCACTCCCCGTTGCTAGCGTAGCAGGAAGTCACACACACACACACAGGGAGCAGCAGGGGTGCCGCCGCTGCTGCCCGGAACTTCCCCTGCTCAGTAAGCCTCAGTCTCCCCGTCTGTGAAATGGGGACAGCAATGCTCTCTGCGCACCAGCCGTGGGAGGCGCGGGGGGAGGTGCCCCTGGTGTGGGGATGGGGACCCACCGGAACCTCAGGGGCGGTGCTCCCTGTGGGGCGCCGGGCCCAGCCCCTGTGCTGGTTCCCGCATTCTCACGATCGGGCCTCCAGGCTGTGCAGGGGGTAGTGGCATGCAGCTGGTTGGCTCCCAGGGGGCCCTGGCCCGGAGAGCAGGTCCCCTGCCGGGGTGGGGACCCCTGCTGGCCCGTCCTCACAGGGTGCTGGGGGTGCTCAGGGTGCGCTCATGGCGAGGGTGCACGGGTGGGGCGGGCGGCTCTCCCATGGCGGCCCCTCTCCCCACAGCCCTGCTCTACAAGCCCGTGGACCGGGTCACGCGGAGCACGCTGGTCCTGCACGTGAGTCCTGCGTCCCCCTCCCCCCCCTTCCGGGTTCGATTCCGGTCCAGGGCACTTACCTTGGTTGCAGGCTTCTCCCCGGCCCCAGCCCTGGTTGGAGGCTCCTGCAGGAGGCAAGCCATCCATGTGTCTTTCTCACATCGATGTTTCTCTCCGCCTCTCCCTCTCCCTCCCACGCTCCCTAAAAATCCACTGAGTGAGGATTTTTTTTTTTTTTTAAATCATTCGGCCCAGAACGTCACCCGTGCCGAGGTGAGGCAGCCTGCCCTGGGCCCCGAGGGTGGGAGCCCCTCTTAGTAGCATGCGAACCCCCCGATGGTGGGGGTTCTGGGGGGCCTGCCTCCCGAGGGCCCGCCCAGCGCTGCCCTGAGGCCCGGCCCTGTGCGAGGCGGCAGGGATGCCCGCAGAGCCCAGGGCCCCGGGCCCAGCCGGGCGTGGGTCTGCGGTCTGCCCACAGCGCGGTGCCAGGGCCTTGCCCAGGCAGGCTGACCGGCGCCCCCTCGCCCGGCGCAGGACCTGCTGAAGCACACGCCGCCCAGCCACCCCGACCACCCGCTGCTGCAGGACGCGCTGCGCATCTCCCAGAACTTCCTGTCCAGCATCAACGAGGAGATCACGCCTCGCCGGCAGTCCATGACCGTGAAGAAGGGCGAGGTAAGGCGGCCGCCGCGGGGAGGCCCGGCCCACTGAGCCGCGGAGGGAGGCGGTCCCCCTGGTCCTCGGCGGACGGACCCGGGACGGTTCGGTGGGACACGGGGAGCGCATGGCCTTAGGGGTCCCTGGCCCTGGCGGGGTCGAACCCGGTCCTGTGTGCGGGGCGTCAGAGTGGAGTTTCGCCGGCGCATGCCTCACTCAGCCACCTCTTTCTTTTCTCCTCCTCCTCCTCCTCCTCCTTCTCCCCCTCCTCCCCCTCCTCCTCCCCCTCCTCCTCCTCCTCCTCCTCCTCCTTCTTCTTTTAAATATATTTTATTGCCTGAAACTGGTTTGGCTCAGTGGATAGAGCATCGGCCTGCAGACTGAAGGGTCCTGGGCTCGATTCCGGTCAAGGGCATGGGCCTTGGTTGCGGGCACATCCCCAGTGGGGGGTGTGCAGGAGGCAGCTGGTCGATGATTCTCTCTCATCGATGTTTCTGGCTCTCTATCCCTCCCCCTTCCTCTCTGTAAAAAAATCAATAAAATATATTTAAAAACAAACAAAAGAACACAGAAGGGCTCAGGACCTACTGACCCGGCCTGACCGGTGGCCTCTGCCCCTTCCTGGGAGCGGCCGGGCGTGGCCAGGCAGGTGCCATCCCGGCGGGTGGCGTGTAATGAGGCAGCAGAGGTGCCAGGCAGAGGGCTGGCCTCACTGTGAGCATCCGCAGTCGGAAGCCGCACTCGGCCTGGCCGTGAACCTGGCGGCAGCTGCCGCTGAGAGCCACTTCCTCCTCTTTCTTGTGGTTTGTGGGCCGGGAGCTGGTGTCAGGCTGCGGGGCAGCTCGCTCCCGGGCAGGTCCCTCCCGGGCAGGTCGCTTGGGGTCCCGTCGCCCTGGGTCCCGGCCTCCCCATCCTCCTTGGGTGCCGCTCCTTGTGTCCGGAGCGGGAAGCTGCCACGTGCCCAGGGTCTCCCCGTCAGCTGTCTCTGGGGGTGAGGGGTGGGGGGGCCTCCCTGGGGAGAGCGGTGAGGAGGGAGGTGTCCCCTCCAACCAGAGGGCGTAGGGTGCCCTCTGCTGGTGGTGGCCAGGAGCTCAGTTCTTTTGAACTTGATTTTTTAAAAAATATTTTTTTATTGATTTCAGAGAGGGAGGGAGAGGGAGAGAGAGAGGAACATCAGTGATGAGAGAGGTTCACGGATCGACTCCCCCGACACGGCAGGTCCCACAGCGAGGCTGGGGAGGCCCCGGGCTCGGTGCCCTGCCCGAGGCTTGGGCCCTGAGGGGCACCCCACCCCGAGTCCCCTGTGTGTCTCAGGATTTGGGGGCTCCTGTTTCTAGCTGCTCTGGCAGCGTTCCACGGAGAGGAAAGGAGCCTCTGTCAGCCTGGGCTTTTGGGGTGCCCTATAGTCACCATCTCCACCTGCTCGGCCGATTTGGGGGGGCAGCGGCACACAGTGGGGCTCAGGCCGGGACATTGCAGGGGCAGGGTGGGCGTGCTGGCTTCCCAGCGGCAGGGCGACTCGATGGTCCTGTGAAGCATGGAGGTGCCTGAGGTGTGCCTTGAGGGAGAGAAGGTGGGCCAGAGGGGGCTTGGGGAGTAGTTAGTGCTGGGGACCGGCTCGGTGTTTCCAGCCTGCCCGCCCAGGGGACCCTCCTGAGGCCACTTCTGAGCTGGGTGTAGGGTGCCCTCTGCTGGTGGTGGCCAGGACCTCAGTTCTTTTTCTTTTTTTTCTTTCTTTTTAAAAAAATATATTTTATTGACTTTTTTACAGAGAGGAAGGGAGAGGGATAGAGAGTTAGAAACACCGATGAGAGAGAATCATCCATCAGCTGCCTCCTGCACACTCCCCACCGGGGATGTGCCCGCAACCAAGGTAGATGCCCTTGACCGGAATCGAACCCGGAACCCTTCCGTCTGCAGACTGACGTTCTATCCACTGAGCCACACCGGTCAGGGCTAGGAGCTCAGTTCTTTTGAACTTAATTTAAAAAAAAATTTTTTTTATTGATTTCAGAGAGGAAGGGAGAGGGAGGAAGAGAGAGGAACATCCATGATGAGAGAGATTCATGGATCGACTGCCCCCTGCACACCCTACACTGGGGATGGAGCCTGCATCCCTGACATGTGCCCCGACTGGCAATCGAACCCTGACCTCCTGGTTCATAGGTTGACACTCAACCACTGAGCAACACGCTGAGCCATGACAGCCAGGCCAGGCTGCCCTATCCCCTCACCCAAGTGCCAGGTTCTTTTCACGGGGGAGGGAGAGGGGGTCTGTGTGGCAGTGCCCCATCCTCCACGGGCTGGCCCTGTGCCCAGTCTGGGTCTCAGTTGTGTCTTGGAGAGGATGTGGGGGGGCGTTCTCCTGCCATCATTCCACACAGACCGTCACCCGCCCTCCCGGCCTCAGGCCACTGGCCTGGCCCCATCCACGTGCCCTCTCCTCCGGGGCCAGGCCCCCCCCCAGAGGGGCTGGGCAGCTGGTGAGCGGAGGAGAGCTTGCGCGGCCGATGAGATGGAGGCTCCTTCCGGGACGCGGGTCTGAGGCTGGAGGCGGAGGGATGGAGGCCGCGGCCCTCACCCTGGCCCCTGCCCGCCCGCCCCGCCCGCAGCACAGGCAGCTGCTGAAGGACAGCTTCATGGTGGAGCTGGTGGAGGGCGCCCGCAAGCTGCGCCACGTCTTCCTGTTCACCGACCTGCTCCTCTGCACCAAGCTCAAGAAGCAGAGCGGAGGGTGAGTGCCGCCAGCGCTCCTTCCCCCGGGAATCGGGGCTCGGCAGGCCCCCTGGGGCCCCGTCACCCGTGCCCACGTCCTCGATCTCCGAGTCCGGGGCCTTGGCGTCGGCCGGGGGCCTCCTGCCAGCTGTGCCCGGGCCCCGGGCGCTGTTGGCGGAGGAAGGCGGGGCCGTGCTCACCTGCTCCCCCGCTTCCGCCCCCAGCAAAACGCAGCAGTACGACTGCAAGTGGTACATCCCGCTCACCGACCTCAGCTTCCAGACGCTGGACGAGTCCGAGGCGGCGCCCGCCATCCCCCTGGTGGTGGACGAGGAGCTGGACGCCATGAAGATCAAGATCTCGCAGATCAAGAGCGACATCCAGAGGGAGAAGGTGGGCGCGGAGGGGGCGGCCTTGGCCCTGGGCCCGGAGCCGCAGCAGCTGGCCACGCCCTGTGCTGAGCTGAGCTGCCTGGCCTTCCCGGCGCCTGGGGCTGAGCAGCGGGACCAGGGGCCCCGGCCCGGGCTGGGAGCGTGACCGCGCCCTCTCCCCGCAGAGGGCCAACAAGGGCAGCAAGGCCATGGAGAGGCTGAAGAAGAAGCTGTCGGAGCAGGAGTCCATGCTCCTGCTCATGTCCCCCAGCATGGCCTTCCGGGTGCACAGCCGCAACGGCAAGGTCAGCGCCCCGCCCCGGCCCGCCTGCTCCCCCTGCTCCCCAGACCCTCCTCACCCCCCCTGCTCCCCCATACACTCTCCACCCCCCCTCCGCCCCCCCTCCGCTCCCCCTGCCCCCCTTCTGCTCCCCCAGACCCTCTCCCACTCCCCCCTGCTCCCCCATACACTCTCCACCCCCCTCTGCCCCCCCTCCGCTCCCCCTGCCCCCCTTCTGCTCCCCCAGACCCTCTCCCACGCCCCTCTGCTCCCCCAGACCCTCCTCACCCCCTCTGCTCCCCATATACTCTCCACCCCCCTCTGCTCCCCCTCAGCTCCCCCTGCCCCCTTCTGCTCCCCCAGACCCTCTTCACCCCCCTCTGCTCCCCCTCAGCTCCCCCTGTCCCCCTTCTGCTCCCCCAGACCCTCTCCCACTCACCCCTGCTCCCCCATACACTCTCCACCCCCCTCTGCCCCCCCTCAGCTCCCCTGCCCCCTTCTGCTCCCCCAGACCCTCTCCCACTCCCCCCTGCTCCCCCATACACTCTCCACCCCCCTCTGCTCCCCCTCAGCTCCCCCTGCCCCCTTCTGCTCCCCCAGACCCTCTTCACCCCCCTCTGCTCCCCCTCAGCTCCCCCTGTCCCCCTTCTCCCCCAGACCCTCTCCCACTCACCCCTGCTCCCCCTCAGCTCCCCCTGCCCTCCTTCTGCTCCCCCAGACCCTCTTCACCCCCTCTGCTCCCCCTCAGCTCCCCCTGTCCCCCTTCTCCCCCAGACCCTCTCCCACTCACCCCTGCTCCCCCATACACCCTCCACCCCCCTCTGCTCCCCCTCAGCTCTCCCTGCCCCCCTTCTGCTCCCCCAGACCCTCTCCCACCCCCCTCTGCTCCCCCTCCGCTCCCCCTGCTCCCCTTCTGTTCCCCCAGACCCTCTCCCACCCCCCTGTGCTCCCCCTCCTCTCCCCCTGCCCCCCTTCTGTTCCCCCAGTCTCTCTCCCACTCCCCCCTGCTCCCTCTGCTCCCCCAGACCCTCTCCCACTCACCCCTGCTCCCCCAGACCCTCTCCCACCCCCCTGTGCTCCCCCTCCGCTCCCCCAGGCCGGCCCTCCTGGTCCCTGGCTCCCACCCGTTGGTAATACCCCCCGAGCCGTGGCCGGCCAGAGGCTCGGAGGGTGTGTGCCTCGGGGGCTGTGTCCGGGTGGACAGGGACGGGGGAGGTAACGGGCCTGTCCTCCCGCCCCCAGAGCTACACGTTCCTGATCTCGTCGGACTACGAGCGTGCGGAGTGGCGGGAGCACATCCGGGAGCAGCAGAAGAAGTGTGAGTGGCCCGCGGCGGAGCCAGGGCGGGCGGTTCCACTGTGGCTTCAGGCCTCCTGCTCCCCGGAGGACCGGGGCTCCCAGTCAGGGGTCAGGTGGCCCGGCTGGCGTGGCTCAGTGGGCAGAGCGTCGGCCTGTAGACGGAAGGGTCCCGGGTTCAGTTCCCGGTCAGGGCACATCAGATTGCGGGCTCCCTCCCCAGTGGGGGGCGGGCTGGAGGCAGCCGGTCCATGGTCCTCTCTCATCGCTGATGTTTCTGCCCCTCGCTCCCTCTCCCTTCCTCCCTGAAGTCGGTGAAAGTATATTTTTTTTTTTAAAAAAAAGAGAAGACAGAACTGTGGCTGGGCCTCGGAGTGGGCTGGCCCCGCGTTCGTAAGGGTCACGCTGGGATTTCTCCTCCCTCTGCGCCCAGCCTGGGCCCGGGGCATGGCCTGCTCTGTCACCCCCAGTCCCTCCGCTGGGAGCAGGGCACGCCCTCCTGCGCCCTCTCACCAGGGAGCGCCGAGGAGGGTTCCGTTGGGGGCGGGGCCGGGGCGGCATCAGAAAGCATCCCCGGGTGTCCGTGTCCGGAACGGTCCGAGCGCCTGTGCAGACGCCCCTCCCTGCCCCCCCTCAGGTTTCAAAAGCTTCTCCCTGACGTCCGTGGAGCTGCAGATGCTGACCAACTCATGTGTCAAACTCCAGACGGTCCACTGCATCCCCCTGACCATCAACAAGGAAGGTGGGCCCCCCATCCCACCGCCACCCGGGCCCGTCCCCTCTGCTCTCCGTCTGTCCCGGGACCGTGGCTTCCATCCCCGCTGGCCTCGCCCGGGAGTGGGCAGGCAGATGAGGAGCTGTTTGGCCCCAGGGCTGGCTCCCCGCCCCCATCCCGAGACCCGCCTCAGCCTCCTCATCCCCTGCCCCGCTGCCCCCCCAGCACCCCCCCAGCCTGCACCTTTGGTTCCCTGTTGCACACACTGTTGTACACTGGGTCGCACACACAGGTATGTGCTGTGCACACACGTGCACACATGCCCCCCCATCCACGTCACACGCTGCCGTGTCCCCTCTCCTGTTCTCGTGACCTTTCCTCTCTGTCGCTGGCCTGCCTGGGCTGTGAAGACAGCCAGAGCCTGCCTCTTGGTTCCACCCACGAACCAGGAGGTCAGGGTTCAATTCCGTCCTGGCCAGGTGGCCAGGGCGCAGGCCCGGGTTGCCGGCTCGATTACCAGTAGGGGGCGCGCGGGAGGCAGCCGGTCAATCAGTGATTCTCTCTCATCGTTGATGCCTCTCCCTTCCTGTCTGAAATCCATAAACACATGTTTAAAAACAAACAAACAGCCGAAACCGGTGTGGCTCAGTGGATAGAGCGTCGGCCTGCAGACTGAAAGGTCCCGGGTTCGATTCCGGTCAAGGGCCTGTACATTGGTTGCGGGCACATCCCCGGTGGGCTGTGTGCAGGAGGCAGCTGGTCGATGTTTCTCTCTCATCGACGTTTCTAGCTCTCTCTCTGTCTCCCTTCCTCTCTGTAAAAAAAAAAAAAAAATCAATAAAATATATTAAAAACAAAATCAAAAAAAAGCAAACACACACCAAAACACTAGATCCTAAGGTCCCCGAGACAGAGGCCACGTGGATGTGCCAGTCTGTGGCATCGCCTGGCCCCCTGCTGGGCACAGGGAGACCTCAGGGTGCCCCCGAGGGTGGTGGGGAGGGGACGCCGAGCCTGTCCCCCGCCGCCCTCCCTCAGGACTGACGCCCCCGCTCCGCGCTCTCTGCACAGATGACGAGTCTCCGGGCCTCTACGGCTTCCTGAACGTCATCGTCCACTCGGCCACGGGCTTCAAGCAGAGCTCAAGTGAGTGGCCCGTCTGGGCCTGGGAAGGAAGGCGGCCGGGCGGGCGGGCCCGGAGCCAGAGGGTGTGGGAACCAGGGAAGTGGCTCGAATTACCATCAGGCGTCTGCGACCCCTGACCCCTGGCTGGTGTGTGTGTGGGGGGGGGGAGGGGGGGCCCTGGGTGTGGAGTTGTGTTCCCTGGGCGGACCTTGCCCTTTCCCATGCTTGTCTCCGGTCCCGGGAGCTGGTGCGCTGCCCCCCGCTGACGGGACTCGTCACTGCAGGGGCTGGAGCTGGCTGCGGACAGACAGACCAGGGAGGGAGACTCCGAGCTTGGCGGGCGGTGTCAGGGGCACTGGGTCCTGACAGGCAGAGTGGCGTTGGCCTCTCCCAGCTCCCGGAGTGGTTAGAGCCGTGCGGGCCGGTCACGTGTGTGTGTGTGTGTGTGTGTGTGTGTGTGTGTGTGTCCCCCAGCGCAGCACAGACCCACGTGTGGTGGGCACAGTGTTGGGATGCACTGAAGACCCTCCCGCCGTGCCCTCACCAGGGGTGGCTGTGCAGCGAGCAGGTTATACCGGTGCCTCCCGAGCCGTCCCCTGCCTCAGTGCTGGTGTGTCCCGGGGCCCGTCCGTCCTGCCTCCCTCCCTGCACAGACTCCCTTCTTCCGGCCCCGGCGCCCTCCCACCAGCAGTGCAGTGGAGCCCTGGCTGGTGCGGCTCAGTGGATAGAGCGTCTGCCCGCAGAGGGAAGGGTCCCGGGTTCGATTCCGGTCAAGGGCATGTACCTTGGTCGCCAGTTCCCTGACCCTCGTCAGGGTGCCTGCAGGAGGCAGCCCATCCATGTGTGTCTGTCACATCGATGTTTCTGTCTCTCACTCTCCCTTCCACTCTCTCAGAAAAATCAATGGGGAAAATTGATTAACAACAACAACAACAAAAGATAGAAAGAAAATCGAGACCATTTTTCCTGATTTCAGAAGGAACGCCTGCTCTTTTGAATGGGGGCTGCCTGGCCAGTGGGGCTCCGTGATTGAGCGTCGCCCTATGAACCAGGAGGTCACAGTTCAATCCTCTGCTCAGGGCACCCACCGGGGCTGTGGGCTCTGTCCCCCATCGGCGATTCTCTCTCACCATGGATGTTTCCATTTCTCTCTCCCTTCCCCTTTCTCCCTGAAATCAATTTTTTTAAAAAAAGGAAATAACGCCAAAACCGGTGTGGCTCCGTGGATAGAGCGTCGGCCTGCAGACTGAAAGGTCCCGGGTTCGATTCCGGTCAGGGGCAGGCATGTGCCTTGGTTGCGGGCAGATCCCAGTAGGGGGTGTGCAAGAGGCAGCTGATTGATGACTCTCTCTCATCGATGTTTCTAACTCTCGATCCCTCTCTCTTCCTCTCTGTGAAAAAATCAATAAAATATATATTTTTTTAAAAAATTTTTTTTAAAAAAAGGAAATACTTACTTTCCGCCCTCCGTACCCCCGCAGACCTGTACTGTACCCTGGAGGTGGACTCCTTCGGGTACTTCGTGAACAAAGCCAAGACTCGGGTCTACAGGGACACGGCCGAGCCCAACTGGAACGAGGTGAGGCACCCTCCCCGCCGTCCTCGGCCGCTGGCCTTGTCCTTGGAGCACGACCGAACCCCCAGAGGCTCCCCAAGGCTCCTTTTCCCCCCAGCGCCCCTCAAGGCGGGGCCGCCAGCGTTCCGGGAATCTCCGGGGGAGGGGTGACTTGCCCGGCGATGTTACCGGCATCTTCCTGAGACGGCTCCCCCCGCCCCCCCCATGACAAAGAGGGACCCATGCGGCCGGAGGAGGAGTGTTTGGAAAAAGAACTTAAAAGGCCTCTAGTGCAGCCTTTGTCATTGGTGGGTGTTGACTTGGTCCGTTTCCATGGCATTTTTCCTGCGAAGCTGGAACGCACCTTCATTTTTCCTGCGAGGCTGGAACGCGCCTCCGGTGACCACTCGGTCTCCGGGAGCTCGGGGCTGTGCCGGGGCCACTGTGCTCGTCCAGGCCCTGGCGGTGGGGGTCCCTCCTCTGTCTTCTCCGCCTCGGGGCGCAGGGGAGCAGCTCCCTTGCCCAGCCGGCCTGCCGCCGGGAGCCTTGGTGGCAGAGGGGCCGGTCCCGATGACGCCCCCAGATGGTGGAGAAGGGCATGTCCAGGGCTCTGGGGCGGCCTCGTGCTTGAGGGTGGGGTGGAGGCCGCCGGGCTGCCCGCAGCTGCCACCGCCGCGCCTGCCACCCCCTTCCCTGCGACGAGGGGGGTGGCGGGGCCAGAACCCAGGACTCGGGTCTCAGTGTACCCTGCCCGGGGCTGGGGCCCGGGAAGTGAGGGCCTTGCCTGGCCACGGTGGCCCCGGGCGGCCCTGCAGGAAGGGCTGACTGGTCCCAGAGTCTGGGGCGGCCGTCACAGGAGGCTTTGCAGAGAGAAGAGGGTCGTGACCCTACGGGCAGGGACATCATGCAGCGACTTCAGGTGCACGTTGCGTGTGTGTGTGGGGAGGGGCAGTGCAGGACCCAGACACAGGAGTGCCACAGCCGAGGGCCACCCAACGACTGCCCAGGCTGTCCCTTCAGCTTCTCTCGGGGTCTTCCCTGTTCCTGGCACACACAGCCTCGCCCCAACCCCATTCCGGCTCAGAAACACCCGCTCTCTTCTCCCCGCCTCCCCTCCATCATCTCCGTCTTCCACCAAGAACCCATGCCAGCCTTCCCTGGTGTGGCTTTAGTGGATAGAGCGTCAGCCTGCAGACTGAAAGGTCCCAGGTTCGATTCCCGGTCAGGGGCACAGGCCCGGGTTGTATGCTCCATCCCCGGTAGGGGGGCTGCTGGAGGCAGCTGATCCATGATTTTCTCTCATCACGGATGTTTCTGTCTCTCTCTTTCTCCCTTCCTCTCTGAAATCAGTTTTTAAAAATCTTATATAGATAAAGCCTAATAGGCTAAGTGTCCAACGGTTCTACCGTTTGACCAGTCGCTCTGACACACACTGGCCACCAGGGGGTAGGTTAGCTTGCTGCTGGGATCCGGCTGATAGGAACTGGACAAAGCTGGCCAGACAGGCCCTGGAGCCCTCCCACGGCCCCTCCCCTGCTCGGTCATGCACCGGCGTGGTCCCTCCGCCCGGCCTGCGCCCTCTTGCAATAAGGGACCCCTCAGGGGATGTCCGAGAGACAGTGTCAGCCCGATCCCTGCAGGCCAGGCCGAGGGACTCTTGGGCCCCGAGGCCCAGGGGTCGGCAAACTCATTCGCCCACAGAGCCAAATGTCAACAGGACAACGATTGACATTTCTTTTGAGAGCCACATTTCTTAAACTCTGTGAGCTCTACAGGTGGGTACGTTGTCATTAACGTAATTAGTGGTGTGGTGAGACGCCACCCTCAGAGGGCCCCTCCGGCCCGCCCGCGCAGTGACGCCGCCCCCGGCCCGGCCGGCTGCTCACGCGGGACCGTCCTCCTCTCTCGGCCGCAGGAGTTTGAGATCGAGCTGGAGGGCTCGCAGACCCTGCGGATCCTGTGCTACGAGAAGTGCTACAACAAGACGAAGATCCCGAAGGAGGACGGCGAGAGCACCGACCGGATCATGGGGAAGGGCCAGGTCCAGGTGAGGCCGCCCTGCCCCACCCCGTCCGTCCGTCCGTCCGTCCGTCTGTCTGTCAGGCCCCAGTGTGTCCCCAAAGGAAGTCCAGTTCCGCTTGGTTCTCCAGCTGGGCTTTGGGTCCTCAAGGCCAACGGTTATGAGGCCTGCGCTTCTGGGCAAAGCCTAACGATCTTGCCCCGGGTGGGATGGCCCAGTGGTTAGAGCGCCGGCCTGGGCACACACCTGGGTTTCAGGTTCGATCCGGTCCCTGTCGGGGCGCGTGCAGGAGGCAACCAGTCCAAGTGTCTCTCTCACATCGGTGTTCCACTCTCTCTTTCCTCTCCCTCCCGTTCACTCTCTCTAGACAATGGAAAAATATCCTTGGGAGAGGATTGAAAACAATAACGATAACAATAATAATAATAATAATAGACTTTGTTTCTCACCAATAGTCCGGTTGTAGAATAGTCCCATCACCCCAAAACCACGTCCTGGTTCCCACGGACAGGCACTTCCTGCCCCCGCCCCCAGACCAGGGGCTCGGAGATAAGTGTGGGAGCCCTGCCCTGGGGTTTGGCCACAGGGAAGAGGGGTGCAGCTCCACGCTGAACCCCACAAGGAACAGAGGGGATTGCTAGCCCAGGGGGAGGGGGAGGAGGTATCAGTGGACGGAAGTCAGAGAAAACATCCATCAGGTGGGCGGGTTCTGGCTGAACGGGATTCCTGTCCCGGGCGGGCCAGGGTGGGGTCGGGTCAGGGGTCAGGGGTCCCCCGGGGCCAGGGGAGAAGGCGGGATTTGGTCAGGGAAGGGCCATCAGCTGTCCGGGTGGCCTCTGGCCGAGCCGCCGTGGCAGGGTTCTCACCGCCTTGTCCCTGGGCTCAGGAGGCTGTGAGGCCTCACTGGGGAACAGCTCAGGGCCGCCCGGCGAGGGTTTGCTCACGGAGGGCCTGGCTGTGGGCGCCCTTGCCCACCTCCTGCGGCGTGAGGAGTCCTCTCGCCATCCGGGTGTGTGTGTGTGTGTGTTCCCGTGTCCGTGTGTGTGTCCGTGTCCGCACCTGTACTTTGGGGTGGGCCCTTCGGTGTCTGCAGCCGCTGTCAGTCTCATCTGTGCTCATTGTTAGCGGAGAAGGCGGCTGGGCCCCACCCCGGTCTCTGCCTGGAGGGAGCGAGGGCTGCTGGGAAGTCTGGCCCCCGAGCAGCCACCGTCAGCCAGGAAAGAAGCAGAGGATGTTTGTGACTCAGGCCCGAGTGGGCTGGCTGGGCTCCCGAGACCTGGGCCCTGGCAGCTTAATGCACTGGGATCCCCCAGAGGGAGGAGGAGGAGGAGGAGGAGGAGGAGGAGGAAAGAGAAGGAGGAGGGGGAGAGGTGGGTTATGAAAAGGAGGAGGAGGGAGTAAGACGGGTGTGGAGGCCCGCCACCCCAGCCATGCCTCTGCCCCTTGGCCCTGCGGGGGCTGCTGTGTGGGGTGCCTGGGGGAGCTGGCTTTTCCCAGTCTCTCCCGCCCCCTCCCTAGTGCCACGTGGGCGGGCGGGGTGGAGAGCTGGTGGGGGGAGTGCATGGCCTATCCCGCCCCCCCCAGGCGCTCCCTGACCCCCCCGCATACGCACTTTGACTCATAAGCTGAGGGGAGAGCACTCCCTGTGAGGAGGGAAGGCGAGCACCCCAGGGGCTGTCTGATGGTGCAAGAACAGGTCCAGACGCCGGCCGGGCTGGGCATCGGCTGTGAACCAGGAGGTCATGGTTCACATGGCTGGTCAGGGCCCAGGTCTCTGTGGCTCCATCCCCAGTGAGGGGCTTGCAGGAGGCAGCCAACCCTGGTTCTCTCTCATCGTTGACGTTTCTCTCCCTCTCCCTTCCTCTCTGAAATAAATTAAATAGATATGCACACACACACACACACACACACACATAATTTTTTATTTTTTTTAAGAAAGAAAACCGCCCAGGAAGTAGGTGATGTGCACACATGTGGGCTCCGTGAGGAGCGGGGAAGTGCCCGGTCCCTTCCGGGTGCCGACGGCACAGGGGAGACTCGTCTCCAAGGAGGTGGGTGAGGAGGGCCTAGCACTTCCTCCTGAGCACAGCTCCATGCAGCCCCCACCTCAGCAGGAGAGCGGGGGAGTGGGTGCCCTGTGCCCGTCCACAGGTGCCCCAGCTGGCCTTGCCAACTGCTGAGCAGGCCAGGCAGCTCTGGTCCTCGGCCAGGCTGCTACGGGACGGCGGGCCCTCCCCCAGCCTCCTGGAATGGGTTCACAGGGTAGTTGTGGGTTTTTTTAAATGTATTTTTGTGAATTTCAGAGAGGGAGAGGGCAATAGAAACATCCACGATGAGAGAGAATCATGGACCGGCTGCCTCCTGCAGGCCCTACAGTGGGGATTCAGCCCGCAACCCGGGCCTGTGCCCTGGCTGGGAATCGAACCCTCACCTCCTGGTTCAGAGGTCGACGCTCAGCCACGGAGCCCCAGAGGGTAGTGTCCTAGGCCACCAGGCCCACCGCCCTAGGAAGACGCGCAGGACCAGACCATTCTCCTGAGAACGCCGCCCAGGCCCCATCCCCGAGCGGCCTGCGGCCGGAGACCCCGAGGTGGTGTGGGGAGCCCCCTCTCGTTTCCCCCGAGACCTCCACTTCCTGTGCTGGCTACTGGGCCGCCCGTTTTCCCACCCCCCTCCCCCTTGTTTACTTCGCTGCTGCCTTCCGTCCGTCACCGGGGGAGCCGTCCCGCCTGGGCTGTTGTCTGGGGCGACGCTCTCACCCTGTTATTCCTCCGGCTGCTTCCTCCCCGCTTAGCACGCTCTGTGCCTGGAACCGAGCCAGCCCGGGGGCGGCCTCTCTCCCGGACAGAGCCGTGGCAACGAGGGACGGCCCGGGCGGAGCCCCCTGCAGCCTACGGCCCGCGGCCCGGTCTCCCGTGCCTGCCGGCCGGCTGGCTCCTGCATGGCCTCCGGGGCCGGGGGCGGGGGGTCTGGACCTTGGGGCTGGGGGTGGACGATGGCGCCCACTCCCCGCATCACTGGGCCGGCTCTCCTGGGGGGACGGGTGTGGGGTGTCCTCGGCCCTGTCCATCCGGCAGGGCTTGCTGTGATTGGGGTAACGGGCCGGGGTGGGGCGGGCCCGGGGGGTGTCCAGGCAGAGGCCCGGGCCGGGCCGCTCTGTTACTCAGCGTTTCCAAACAGGAAGCGGCCGGAGCAGGAAACCGGCTCTCCTGGGCAGGGAAAGCCGTGATGCGACTCGGTTCCCGTCACCGCTGGGCTGCCGGCGGGGCTGTTTTCCAAGCAGAGGCAAAAAAATAAAATCTAAAATAAAAACTCGAGGGTCATCGGAAGCTTTGACCTTGGCGAGCCAGGCGGCAGGGGCGGGGCTTCCCCCCCCCCTTTCCCCGAACCCCAGTCAAAAGGCCGCGGGGGCCGGGGCTGTCCGTCCAGCCTCCTGCCACGCTCGCCCTCCGACCAGCGACCAGCAACCGACCAGCCCGCGGGACCAGGATGCGGAAGGCGCCGGCCGCGCCCGCTGCCGTGCGGGGCCTCCTGCGCTGCTTCCACCGGAGCCCGGCGGCGGCGGTGGGCACGGGCCCGCACCTGTGTGCGCCGGGCTCCACGCTGTGGGCCCACCTCCGCAGCCTCCTGTGCAAGGGCAAGGTGGGCCGGGGCTGGGTGCCCCCGAGGGGGGCTGTGTCCGGCGGGGTCCTCTGCTGCGGACGCCTCCATCCTCTCCATCCCCTGACCTCGGCCCGTCGGCCGCGTTGGCCACGTCTCAGTTCTTGGATTTTTTTATTTTTATTTATTGATTTTTAGAGAGAAGAAGAGAGAGGGCCAGAGAGGCTGATCGGCCGCCTCCTGCACGCCCCGCACTGGGGATGGAGCCCGCAGCCCGGGCCTGTGCCCTGGCCGGAATCGAACCAGTGACCTCCTGGTTCCCGGGTCGGCGCTCAGCCACTGGCCCGCCGGCCTGGCTCTCCTTGGGTGATTGGAAACAGCCGAGCCCTGCAGACCAGCGCCGGAGCCTCTGGCGTTGGGATTCGGAGCTGGGCTCCGGCTTCTTCTGAGCCAGACGCTAAGCCACAGGCCTGGCCCGGGCGGGCGGCCCTCCTGGGCGCCAGGCCCCACGGCCAGACCGCGGCACCCGCGGTGGGAGGAACCGCGGCCCCAGCTTCTGGGTGGCATTGCCCCGGGCAGTTCCGCTGGGAATGGGGCTTCCAGGGTTGTCGAACCTGGCGTAGGCAGCAGTGGGGGCTGTGGGGGCTGACGAGGGCGCAGGGGTCGAGCTCCTGGACTGCAGCTCCCAGCTCGCGGGTCCCAGGTGTCCAGCTGGTCCTCTCCCCTCCGGGGGCCCCTTTGTCCTGGATAGAGGTGCCGCCCAGGCGTGGTTCTGACCGCGATGCAGGTGTGGGGGAGCGGGTGTGAGGGAGCAGCGGGCGTGGGCTGCGGCCGGGCGGGGCCTCGGCCCGGGTCCCGGGGCCTCTGCTAATCGCGACTCCGTGCTTCCAGCTGGACCCCCAGGCCCTGCAGGACAGAGACTGGCAGCGGACGGTCATCGCCATGAACGGGGTAGGTACCCGCTCACCCCAGCAGCAGGCCAGCATGGCCGGGGCGCGTAGGAGGGAGGTGGGCCTGGAGGAGGGGGAGGAAGCCCGTGAGCAGAGTCCGCATGGGGAGGGAGGAAGGGAAGGAGGGAGGGACCCCCTGCGTGCGGGGTGCGGCCAGCGGCCGGGCACTGAGCTTCCCTCCGGAGCACGAGGCCGCAGGGTCTCCGCCTGGGGGACCTGAGCCCCTGGCGAGTCCTCGGGCCCTTTGCTCTCTCTGCCTCTCCCTCTCCCTCTCCCTCTCCCTCCCGCTCCCTCAGAATCAATGGAAAAATACCCTCGGGTGAGGGCCAGCACACAGAGACCACAAAGTGAACTGGCAAATCTGAGACATTCTAGAGAGGGAGGGAGACGGAGAGAGAGAGAGAGAGAGAAGCAAGCAAAAAGCTTAAAAGAGTTAAATTAAAAAGAGAAGCCACTGGGCTGTGGGGGGCGGTTCTGCCACCGCCGGCCCCTGCCCCGGCCCCCCAGCCCCGGCCCCGGCCCCGGCTCCGGCCCCCGCCTGCTCGTGCTGATTGGGCCTGCGCTTCTGGTCGCCGTCCGCAGGGCTTTGGGTCCTGGGCTGCTTCCCCGTGGGCAGGGGGTCCGCCCAGCGCTGGGTCCCGGGCTGCTTCCCCGGGGCGGGGCGGGGGGGTCCGCCCGGCGCTGGGTCCCGGGCTGCTTGCCCGGGGCGGGGGGTCCGCCCGGCGCTGGGTCCCGGCAGGGGGGTCCGCCCGGGCCTGGCTGTGAGGACCAGCGGCGAGGCCGTGCCCTCCCCCCCAGATCGAGGTGAAGCTGTCGGTGAAGTTCACCAGCAGGGAGTTCAGCCTGAAGAGGCTGCCGTCCCGCAAGCAGACGGGCGTCTTCGGGGTCAAGATCGCCGTGGTCACCAAGTGCGTGTCCGGGGCTTGGTCCCCCTCCCCTCCCCCACGGTGTCCCCTCTCCCCTCCCACACGGTGTCCCCCCTCCCCTCCCCCACGGTGTCCCCCCTCCCCTCCCCCACGGTGCCCCCTCTCCCCTCCCCCATGGTGTAGCCCTCTCCCCTCCCCCATGGTGTCCCCCTCTCTCCTCCCCCACGGTGTCCCCCTCTCCCCTCCCCCACGGTGTCCCCCTCTCCCCTCCCCCACGTGTCCTCCCTCCCCCACGTGTCCTCCCTCCCCTCCCCCACGGTGTCCCCCCTCCCCTCCCCCACGTGTCCCCCTCTCCCCTCCCCCACGTGTTCCCCTCTCCCCTCCCCCACGGTGTCCCCCTCTCCCCTCCCCCACGTGTCCTCCCTCCCCTCCCCCAACGTGTCCCCCCTCTCCCCTCCCCTACAGTGTCCCCCTCTCCCCTCCCCCACGTGTTCCCCTCTCCCCTCCCCCACGGTGTCCCCCTCTCCCCTCCCCCACGGTGTCCCCCCTCCCCTCCCCCACGTGTCCCCCTCTCCCCTCCCCCACGGTGCCCCCCACTCCCCTCCCCCACGGTGCCCCCCACTCCCCTCTCCCAAGGTTTCCCCCCTCTTCCCTCCCCCACGGAGCCCCCCCTCCCCTCCCCCACGGTGTTTCTGAGGAAAGAGCGCGTGTGGGCCTCCCCTCTGTGCCTCCCAGGCCCTGGGGACCCTGTGTTTCCTGCACAGCTTACCCTACAGGCTCGGGGCCGTCCCTGTTCCTCCCCGGTGCAGGGGCCCCACACATGCCCCCGGGGCTGAGAGGGCAGGCTCTCCTCCCCCGTCACGGGTCACAGGGAGCTCACACCCGGCGCTGGCGCCACACCCGGCCCCAGGTGTCCGGACGGCAGTGGCTGTGCCCCCGTGGCTGTGGCCCCCGTGGCTGTGGCCCCCGTGGCTGTGCCCCCGTGGCTTTGTCCCCCGTGGCTTTGTCCCCATGTGGCTGTGCCCCCGTGGCTGTGGCCCCCCGTGGCTTTGGTGCCCCCGTGTCTGTGCCCCCGTGGCTGTGCCCCCGTGGCCGTGTCCCCCGTGGCCGTGCCCCGTGGCTGTGCCCCCCGTGGCTGTGCCCCGTGGCCGTGCCCCCGTGGCTGGCGCCGGGCCGCCGGACACTCACGGGCGCCCGTCCCCGCAGGAGGGAGCGGTCCAAGGTGCCCTACATCGTGCGGCAGTGCGTGGAGGAGATCGAGCGCCGGGGCATGGAGGAGGTGGGCATCTACCGCGTGTCCGGCGTGGCCACCGACATCCAGGCGCTGAAGGCCGCCTTCGACCTCAGTGAGTGGCGCCGGGCGGGGCGGGCGGGCGGGGCGGGCCACCCGGCCGGGGCGCCTGTCAGTCACTCTGCGCTTTCTCGGCCTGAAGGCCAGCGGAGAGCGCTGTGGGCAGCGGAGAGCGCTGTGGCCAGCGGAGAGCGCTGTGGGCAGCGGAGAGCGCTGTGGGCAGCGGAGAGCGCTGTGGGCAGCGGAGAGCGCTGTGGCCAGCGGAGAGCGCTGTGGCCAGCGGAGAGCGCTGTGGCCAGCGGAGAGCGCTGTGGGCAGCGGAGAGCGCTGTGGCCAGCGGAGAGCGCTGTGGGCAGCGGAGAGCGCTGTGGCCAGCGGAGAGCGCTGTGGCCAGCGGAGCCGCAGACGCCAGCTCTCAGCCCGGGGCCCCGCCTCTCGCTCAGTGGGACCGGGGCTTCCGGGGCCTCCCTGCTGGGCTCAGCTGCGCTGGGGGGCAGCGCGGGCGCAGAGGTGCCGGCCGAAGCCCAGGGCCCGTGCGGGGGCCGGAGGGGAGCGGGCCCAGCTGCCTGCGGTCTGTCCCCCTCCCCTCCGCACAGAGCCAGGGCCCTCGGTGGCCACCGCCGCCCCACGGGAAGGCACCGGCTTAACCCCTGAAACGGAACCAATAATGGTGTCTTCCTGTTGTCAGAGGACACCACGTCCAGGCCCGGCCAGTGTGGCTCAGTGGGTGGAGCGGTGGCCTGTGGACTGGAGGGTCCCGGGTTCGATTCCAGCCAAGGGCACGGGCCCAGGTGGCGGGCTCGATCGCCGGCCCTGGTCGGGCATGCGCAGAGAGGCAGCCCATCGATGTGCCTGTCACATCCATGTTTCCCTGTCCCCCCCCCCCCTTCCACTCCCTCTGAAAGTCAGGGCAAGATGAGGCCTAACAACAGATAAAACGAAGGCACCGCCGCCCCCCGATGGCGGCCGCCGTCCTGGCTCCCCGGCGGGCGGTGGGGAGGCGGCTGGACGGATGGGTGTGCGGCTCAGGCAGCCGGCCAGGGGCGGGCGGCTCCGGGCGGGGCTCACCGCCGCCTCTGCTCCTGCAGACAACAAGGACGTGTCGGTGATGATGAGCGAGATGGACGTCAACGCCATCGCCGGCACCCTCAAGCTCTACTTCCGGGAGCTGCCGGAGCCGCTGTTCACCGACGAGTTCTACCCCAGCTTCGCCGAGGGCATCGGTGAGCGCCGGAGCCCCCCCTGGCTCGCCCCCCCCCCCGCCTGCCCCCGCCTCTGTCCAGGGTCCAGCCCAAACGAGGGCATCGGTGAGCGCCGGAGCCCCCCCTGGCTCGCCCGCCCGCCCCCGCCTCTGTCCGGGATTCAGCCCAAACGCGGCAGGTGCCCGGGGCCCAGAACCGAGCCCGGGTCCCCCCTGACCTGCCGTCCCCGCCTGCTGAGTGGGGGCGCCTGTCTGGGGTGGGGATGAGGCCGCGATGGCTCCTCCTCCTCCCTGGAGCCCTTGTCCTGCCCCCCTGACCCCAGGTCGGCCTGCGGGGCGGTGTCCGGGGGACGGGGGCACTGGTGTAGGGGCAGCCACGGCCTCTGCACCCCACCTCCGGGGCTGTTCCATCGGGGCCTCGTCCCCCATCGTGAACGGGGCGATGGGGGTCCCCGGGCCTCGGGCTGTTCCGGGCGGGAGGCAGGAACGGCCGAGCGGGTGCTCCCCGTGGCGCCTGGGGCCCTTTGAGACGGAGAGAAGGCGACCCCACACAGGCTCCCGTCACAGACGCCCGACCGTGCGAGCCCGAGGATGGCCTCCCAGGGACCCCAAGAATTGACCCCCGCCCCCCTTCCCGCAGCTCTTTCGGACCCCGTGGCGAAGGAGAGCTGCATGCTGAACCTGCTGCTGTCGCTCCCAGAGGCCAACCTGCTGACCTTCCTCTTCCTCCTGGACCACCTGAAGAGGTGCCCGGCTCTGCCCCAGGGGCTGGGGTGTCAGGCCCCCCGTTTTCTGCGCCCCGCGGGCTCCCCTCAGACTCCTCGGCACCTGGGGTTTCTCACCCCCGCTGGGCACTGGAGCCACAGCCACCCTCCTCCCTCTCCCCACCCGCCCCCTCTGCGCCCCGGCCTTAACATGAGGTGCTTAGCCGGCCGGCGTGGCTCGGTGGTCGAGCATCGACCTCTGAACCAGGAGGTCAGGGTTCGGTTCCCGGTCAGGGCACAGGTCTGGGTCCACGGGCTCCGTCCCCAGTGGGGGGCGTGCAGGCGGCGCCGGGTCGGTGATTCTCTCTCATCGATGTTCCTCTCTCCCTCCCTCTCTCTCCCTTTCTGAAACCAATAAGAATATATTTGGGGCTGAGACCGGTTTGGCTTAATGGATAGAGCATCGGCTTGGGGACTGAAGGGACCCGAGTTTGATTCCGGTCAAGGGCATGTACCTTGGTTGCGGGTATATCCCCAGTAGGGGGTGTGCAAGAGGCAGCTGATCGATGACTCTCTCTCATCGATGTTTCTAACTCTCTATCTCTCTCCCTTCCTCTCTGTACAAAATCAATAAAATATATTTTAAAATATATATACATATATATATTTAGGGGGGGAAGTGAGATGCTTTGGCCTCAGCCAGCATTGTGCTTGGACCCCACCCTCCCCCCTCCCGGCCAAGGTCATGGCCCCAGGTTGGCCCTGCCACCTGTTGGCCTCGGTCCTCTCCGCCTGGGCCCCTCGGACCCAGGGGCACAGGGCGGGCCTGCCCCTGGGCCTCCCCTCCGTCCGGGGGCGGCGTCCCAGCAGTGCCCTGTGCTCCGGCTCCCGCAGGGTGGCAGAGAAGGAGACGGTGAACAAGATGTCCCTGCACAACCTGGCCACGGTGTTCGGCCCCACACTGCTGCGGCCCTCGGAGAAGGAGAGCAAGCTGCCCGCCACGCCCGGCCAGCCCATCTCCATGGCGGACAGCTGGTCCCTGGAGGTCATGTCCCAGGTACGCGCACACCGGCTCCGGCCGTGGCTCCCCGCCTCACCCAGGGGTGGCCTCGGCCTGCCCCCCCGCCCCCCCAAATTCCTGCCAGACGCCACTCAACTTGTACCGGGGAGCCCCAGCCCGTCTGGCCCAGTGGATAGAGCGTCGGCCTGAGGACTGAAGGGTCCTGGGTTCGATTCCAGTGAAGGGCACATATCCGGGTTGCGGGCTCGATCCCCAATAGGGGGCGTGCAGGAGGCAGCCGATCAATGATTCTCTCTCATTCATTCTCTCTCTCTCTCTCTCTCTCTCTCCTCCCCCTCTCCTTTCCTCTCTGAAATCAATGCAAATATATATATATATATATATATATATATATATATATATATTTATTTATTTGTTTATTTATTTATTTATTTATTTATTTTTAAATTGTACGGGTGTGCCGGGACCGGTTTGGCTCAATGGATAGAACGTCGGCTTGGGGACTGAAGGGACTCAGGTTCGATTCCGGTCAAGGGCATGTACCTTGGCTGCGGGCATATCCCCAGTAGGGGGTGTGCAAGAGGCAGCTGATCGATGACTCTCTCTCATTGATGTTTCTAGCTCTCTATCTCTCTCCCTTCCTCTCTGTACAAAATCAATAAAATATATTTTTAAAATTGTACGGGTGAGCCAAAACCGGTTTGGCTCACTGGATAGAGCATCCGCCTGCGGACTGAAGGGTCCCGGGTTCAATTCCGGTCAAGGGCACGGACCTTGGTTGCGGGCATGTCCCCAGTCGGTGGTGTGCAAGAGGCAGCTGATCGATGACTCTCTCTCATTGATGTTCCTAACTCTATATCTCTCTCTCCCTTCCTCTCTGTAAAAAAATCAATAAAAATATATATTAAAGATATATATGTATATGATAATAATAAAAAATAAAATAAAGTTGTGTGGGGGAGGCAGCCAGAGGGGGACCCATCTAGGAGGCCTCTCCTGTTGCACCTTCCTGAGCTTCTCGGGGTGGTCCTTCAGGGCACCCCGGGGTCTTGCTGCGAGGGGCTCATGGCCCCGCAGGAGCCCTCCGCACCCCGAGCTGGCCCTGGGGCCTCAGTGACCAGGCTGCGCCGTGAGCGTCCTTCTAAGCTGCTTCTTCCCTCCCCCTGGGCAGGTCCAGGTGCTGCTGTACTTCCTGCAGCTGGAGGCCATCCCTGCTCCTGACAGCAAGCGACAGAGCATCCTGTTCTCCACGGAAGTCTAAAGGCCCGACTCCTCCGACTCCAGGAAGCCGCCCGCACGGCCTGGGACACCCTCCCGGCGAGACAGGCCGCCGCGGGGCAGGATCCACATCTCCTTGAGGCGCCCTCGGGCTGCCCCCCCCGAGAGCCAGGCCCTCTGCCAAGAGACGGCTCGCTACCCGAGGCAGAAGGCCCAGAGGCCTGGGCAGTGCCGGGCCCCCAGCCTGGGGGGCCCTTGAGCTCCCCGCTGGCCTCCGACTCTGGTCTGCCGCCACCGGAGGGCGCCCCAGAGCCAGCACGGCTCAGAGTGCAGGCCCGGCCCCAGAGCGGGCGGAAGGAGTGGTGGTGTTTGTTTTTTTTTAACGAACTTCTCAGACTTTTCAAAGATTTCTACTGGATCCCTTGTCAAGAGGCACCCTCTCCCGGGGAGGAGGGGACACGCGCAGATCCCCTCACGGTCGTGTCCTGAACAAAAGCTGCTGCTGCTGCTGCTGCTTCTTCGCACTGTGGGGGGCCCCCTGTGGGGGTGGGGGCGCTGGGGTTTTACTGACTTAAAACATACGACTCCCGTGGGGAACGGGGCGCGGAAAGCTAAGTCAACACTGTGTGGCATCGGGCCCCTTTCGCCTCCTTCCTCTCTCCCTTCGCTTTCTAGAAGGATCTGCGGGCACCAAGGGGTCTCTTTCCTGTCCCGTGCTGTGGCCGTGGCGTTGCTTTTGCAGATCCTGTGCCCCTGGGAGGGCAGCTGCCCGTGTAACACCCAGGCCCGGCCACCAGGGGGGCGGGAGGCCGGGGCTGCGCACTTTATGGCTCCTTCCTCCTCCGGGGAGAGTGACCCCTGCCCCCCAGGCCATCCCAGCCTCCCGCCGGGCACCCGCTGGCCTGCAGCTTGCAAAGGCCAGGTCTCTAGCTCAGTGCCGCCCTCCCCCCCCCCCTCCCCAGGTCCCCGCTCTGCTGAACAGACTCGGCACCTTTTTGTAACGGCTGCTGCTTGCTGCACCGGCATCGGCTTGTGTTCAACTTTTTGATCCGAATCGCCTTTTTGATACTTGAATATTTTTAAGTTTTATACGTAGTTTCTAATTTTCTTCCGGACGGACTCAGAAGGTATCTAAGCTTTGTGTTCCTCTGAGCGCCTTCTCTGTCTGTCTCCATCGGGAGCGGACGCCCAGTCTCCTGGGCACCCGGGGGGGGGGGCAGGCCTGGGATGAGGGCAGTGACTCCCATCCCAGAGCAGGCGGAGGACAGACGTGCCCCCCTCCCGCCCCCTCCCCGCTCTGCACGCCCCTGCCAGCCCTCCGGACCCTCTGCCTAGAGGGAAGAGCATGGGAAAACACTAAGTATTTCGAAGAAACAGGTCTACAGACACCGTATCCATCTTTTTTTGGGCCCTGGTCGGTTGGCTCCGCAGACAGAGCGTCGGCCTGCGGACTGAAGGGTCCCAGGTTCGATTCCCTTCAAGGGCACGCCCCTTGGTGGCAGGCTCCTCCCCAGCCAGGCTCTGGTTCGGGGTTGCGTGCAAGAGGCAGCCCATCGACGTGTCACTCTCACATCAGTATTTCTCTCTGTCTTTCCCTCTCTCTCCTCTTTCTGAAAACATCCTTGGTTGTGGATTTAAAAACAAACAGTAAGTCACTAAACAGCGGGTTGGGGCGAGGAGAGAAGGGGCACAGTGTCCGCACCGGTCTGGCGGGGAGAGAGGGTGCCATGAGTCGGAGGAGGGAAGCCATGCAGCGACTCAGGAAAAGGTGTTTCCTTGTCAGGGATGGCGGCGGCACTGTCCCACGCTCCTGCCCACGTCCTGGGGCCGTGGCAGGACTCACCCAGGGTGCCCGGGGCAGCGCTCTGCCCGGGGACCTGCCGCGCCAGGGGCCCAGGAGACAAGGTCACTTGCAGGCCTGCCGCCTGCATACTGTATTTATTTAGCTGTCCTTTATTTTCTCCCGTGTTAACGCAGCACCCCTCCTACCCGCACCCGCACCCGCCACCCCCGGGGATGAGGGCAGGGCGCGGGGCTCTCTGTCCTCGCCCGTTTCTGGGCCCAGTGGGTTCCCGGGGTCCCTCCGGCCCGACGGTCTCCCCAGCACACCTCCAGCCCTGGGGCCCCCTTCCCCGGCACCCCTGGTCTGCATCTGTCGCATCGAAACTGGAAAGCAATACGCCCACGTCTGTGCCAACGTCCCTGCCCTCGCCCGCCGCCTCCCGTGTTATTTATATGGAGCGTGTGCCGCCTCCCGGGGCCCAGGTGCCACAGGAGACGAGGCCGCCCGGCCCTGGCCCCGGGGTCTGCTGGGCCGCCTGCCACTGGGGCTGGGCGGGCTGGTCTCGGCGGCTGCGCTTCTGCTTTTGAGCTCGGTCCCCCGTGTGCGCCGTCGGGGAGGGGACTGCTGACCCTGTCATTAAAGTTTCCTGAGACGACGTGGCGTGCGTGGTGGTGATGGTGGCGCTCCGCGTGGGCCCTGGGTGGGCGGTGCGGCAGGTGAAGGGCCCGAGCGCCCAGTGGGCCTCGGGGAGGGAGGCGTGGACACCGCTGGGGAGGGGCCGCTGGACAGAGTCGGGACACGAAGCAGCACCAGTCACTCCGAGGAGCGAGAGCTTTGGGCCTCCTGGTTTGATAGCGGGCAGAGGGACACGGGCTGTGCCGAGCCCGGGGGCAGGGGTGCCCAGCCATGCCCGGCCCGGCCCTGCAGAGCCCTCAGCCTCCCGGATCCCGCCGGCAACCAGGCTCGGAGGTCTGGCCTCTGCAGGCCGGGGCCGCTCTGAGCCACCGTGCCTCGCCCTGAGCGTGCAGCCCTAAAAGGCTAGTGTCTCTTATTATTCTACCTTCCCCGGCCTGGGTGGAGACCTTTGTTATTATTTTTAAAAATATATTTAATTGATTTTTTTTACAGAGAGGAAGAGAGAGGGATAGAGAGCCAGAAACATCAATGAAGAGAGAATCATCATCAGCTGCCTCTTGCACAGCCCCTACTGGGGATGCGCCCCCAACCAAGGGACATGCCCTGGACCGGAATCGAACCCGGGACCCTTCAGTCCGCAGGCTGACGCTCTATCCACTGAGCCACACCGGTTTCGGTTGTCATTTTTTAAAATATATTTTTATTGACTTCAGAGAGAGGGCGTGAGAGAGAAACATCAACGAGAGAGAACCGTGGATCGGCTGCCTCCTGCGCACCCCTGGACGCTTAGCAGGAGGGCGGGGTTTTGTATAAAAACACCAGAAGGTGCCTCAGCCCATTTGACTTAGTGCTTAGAGCATCTGTCCAAGGATTGAAGGGTCACAGGTTCAATTCTGGTCAAGAGCCGGACCTCAGTGGCAGGCTCGGGTCCCCAGCCCCATTGGGGCATGTGCAGGAGGCAACCGATGGATGTGCTCTCTCCCATCCATGCTGCTTCTCCCTCCTTTCATCCTCCCTCCCACTCTCTAAAAAAAAAAAAAATAAAAAAAAAGGCAGTAGAGTCGAAACCAGTGTGGCTCAGTGGCTAGAGTGTCAGCCTGGAGACTGAAGGGTCGCAGGTTCGATTCCGGTCAAAGGCATGTACCTTGGTTGCAGGCACGTCCCCAGTAGGGGGTGTGCAGGAGGCAGCTGATCAATGATTCTCTCATCGATGTTTCTAGCTCTCTGTCCCTCTCCCTTTCTCTCTGTAAAAATCAGTAAAATATATATTTTTTTAAAAAGGTAGCAGAGCCCTGGCTGGGGTGGCCCCGTCGGCGGGAGCACGGTCCTGCACGCTGAAAGGTGGCGTGTTCGGTTCCCAGTCGGGACACGGGCCTCGGTGGCAGGTTCGAGCCCTAGTCCAGCTAGCTGCTCGCAAGAGGCAGCCGGCCGGAGTTTCTCTCTCACATGATGTTTCTCTCTTTCCCCCTTCCTCTCAAAAAAAATTGAAATGTCAACCTTTATACCCCCCTACTCCCCCCAAAGAATGCTCCAGTTTCCTTAAAAGGAAGTGTTTCCACTGACTAATGACGGGCTGTCAGAAAAAAAAGCTCTGGAAAGAGAAACAGAAAAAATGAGGGCGGCAGGCACACCCAGCGCCCGACGAAGCCAAGAGGCCTCCCGGAGCCGGCGCCGCTGCCAGGGGGCAGGGGGCAGGACTGGGCTGAGCGTCCCCCACCCCCACCCTCCACCCCCGTGCGGGGGGAGCTGTCAGGGCTGGGGCTCGGGGCCAGTGGGGCTCTGTCGGCGTGACGGGAGTGGGAGAGCGATGGGGCAGAGCCTGCGTCATCCGAGTGCCCCCGGCACGGGAAGGCCAGCCGGGCCGGGGTGACGTGCGGGCACCCACGTACATGATGTTCTGGGGGACAGGGCCCTGTCGCTCCTCCCAGACCTGTTCCAAGTTGGAAAGGAAACCAGGGCCGCCCTGGCCGGTGTGTCTCAGTGGATAGAGCATCGGCCGGCGCACTGAAGGGTCCTGGGTTCCATCCGGTCAGGGCACAGACCCGGGTTGCTGGCTCAATCCCCAGTGTGGGGCATGTAGGAGGCAGCCGGTCCATGATTCTCATCATTTAAAAAATATATATATATATACTGTATTGATTTTTTTTTTTTTACAGAAAGGAAGTGAGAGGGATAGTCAGAAACATTGATGAGAGAGAAACATCGATCAGCTTTCTCCTACACCCCCCCCTATTGGGGATGTGCCTGCAACCAAGGTACATGCCCTTGACTGGAATCGAACCTGGGACCCTTCAGTCCCCACAGGCCAGTGTTCTGTCCACTGAGTCAAACTGGTTCGGGCCAATATATATACATACATATATATATATATATATATATATATATATATTAACTATAATTTATTGATTTTTTTTACAGAGAGGAAGGGAGAGGGATAGAGAGCTAGAAACATCGATGAAAGATAAACATCGATCAGCTGCCTCCTGCACACCCCCCACTTGGGGATGTGCCCGCAACCAAGGTACATGCCCTTGACCTGAATCGAACCTGGGACCCTTCAGTCCGCAGGCCGATGCTCTATCCACTGAGCCACACCGGTTTGGGCTCATCATTGATGTTTCTAT